AAATATTGTGACCTCTGGCCAGATTTTAAGTGTTGTTATCGCCATGTGATTGCCTTGTTTTTTCTGGTGAAGCTCTCACACGAGCGAGCGATCAAGTTGAAGGATGTGTTAGCAACGTTAGGTGAGGGTTTTGTCAGTAGCTGTCCACGTTGCAAGCCTGTTTCTTCAAAGAATCTGAATTGCGACTTCCGCAGTAGATTGAAAGGAATCAAACATGAAGAATACGGTAAATTTCCTCGTTGTAGACCATCAGTGTTATGTGATTCTTTAAGTTTGCAGCCACAAACGGTTGTATTTAAAATAAACGTGTTTTAAAAAGGTATTTACCGTTTCCGTTTTAGCTAACCAAAATTTTAACTCGCGCTACGCTCGCAAAAAGCAGTTTGATACTCGCACGATAGACTCGGTATAGATGGTGACATAGTTGTGAAGGTTTTATATGAGAGTTTAATCTCAGCGACTAACCGAACATGAAGTTTTTAATGTTTATTATTTCAATTCTGCAACCAAATTGATTTAGCCATGACGAGGAGCTGTTCTAAAAATTCATCCGCTGACCAGTGGCTAATACTGTTTACATCTAAGTTATCACTGTTCTTGCGAATTTTATTTGCACGAGTACTTCTCTTATAGCTACACCGTCCGAACATTCATAATACCATTATTAAAAAAAAGATACGAACTCGTCAGGGTAATTCGTGCTTCTCTGAGACGAAATAATTCAAAATTGATTGTGGTGCTTCTTTGAAACGAAAGAACATAAAAATGACAGTGGTAAATCCCATGTTATTCTTAGTGAAGTGTCTAGAAGAGGAAGGGCCCAACAAGGAATATTTAGCTCGAGGAAGCGGCATGGTTGTTCGTGCGTCAGAAGTGAAAGCCAAATATTTTCCCTCCGGCCCCACCAAATTTAGTCACCAAGCATTTATCCTATGACGTCTAAGTCTTTAAAATTTCGAAATGATGCTTGAACCTGAATAGGATGCGATTACATCGTAAGCAGACTGCTCATTAGACAACTTGAACATGATGAAACCTTTTTCCTTATGTCTTCAAGTCAGCAATGGAAATTCTTAATTCATAGACTAAGGCGATTTATTTTCCCGTTTCTTTCTTATTCCACACCTATAGAATTCTTGTTCTTGGAAAATGTTTAATGATAAATATGAATTGCGGGATCGGAGTCGCACGTCTGATCGACTGGATAGACTCGAGAAGCAATGGCAGGACGAGCGCAGAACACAACGAAATGCGTATGATGCGTTACGTGACGAGAAACGCGCGTGTGAAGAACGTTTGCAACGCGCTCATGTTGATGTTAAAACATACCAAAGACGCAACCATGTCTTAGAACATGAAATTGATAGAGCGCGTCAAACTACTGACATATTCCGTGGAGATCAACCATGGATCATCACAGGAGAAGAAATCAAACTCTCCGATAAGGTTCTTGGTACTGGCGCGTGGGGAAGAGTCCTTGAAGGGAATTTTCGAGGAACAAAAGTGGCAGTGAAAGAAATCCACGAAATAATTCAATCACCTCATAACAGACTCCTCTTTGATCGCGAAATCACGTTTGCCACTGTTTGTCAGGGATGGTATGGAGTTGTTCCTATGCTGTTTCTAGAAATATCGATACTTCATAATGATAAAGTTAACGATGAATATTTCTTATCGTTGTTATTTCTTCTCAAAAATCAAATATTAAGCAAAAGAAACAAGTTTAAGTGCCACTTAAATAAAACTATAAATACATGAGCAAGGGAGGATGAGGCGCCTAACTTTGCGCTTCAGTATGTACATCATTCCGTGCAACTGATTATCCGAACAGGAACCCATACCCTAAAATGTAATGTTAAGTTTTTCTTGCTAAGGGAGTTGCGCATATTTTAAAAGAAGAGGACGGTCTCTCTTGGTTCATCCTCTCCTATATGGACAATGATTTCATGTAATGGTTGTGTGGCGAGCTTCGACCTATCCACCTATAAACCTGGATCATGTTTAGGACTTTGGGCAATCAGCCTTTATCGGCAAAACGTCGACACTTATCTAAGACATGTTACAAACTTAATATTTCTAAGTACATCGTAGGACTGATCCAAACACTACGCGGTTATTTCCTAGAGAGGATCTAATTAGTGGGAAGTGGGTCGGGTTGCTCAAGATTAAAAATATTTCAAAATATGCACTGTTAATATGGTGAATTCCTCTGAATTGTTTTGATTTTCACTTGGTATTTAGTTGGTGCTTATGATGGATTATCGTTGCTGGCTCGTGTGTTGCAGGGGAGTATCTTTTTGATTTGCACGTGCAGTGTAACATTGCCTTGATCTTCTGCCTGAAACGTTCGTTGAGCAGCGCGTACACGAAAGGATTGACACAAGAATTAACCATAAACATAGTGTCAGAAACGGCGTGAGAAGCTGAACCAAACACAAGAATGTTATAGTAACTCAAGACGTAAATAAGAAGGCCTGTGATCCAACAGACTCCAAAGATAACACTGACGGTGATTACACTCAATGTGACTCGTTTGCGCACTCTCAGTATTCCCTGAAAAAGAAGAGTGTAGGTAGAATCGAATGAACCACTCGGTTAACAGCTCCTCACTAAGTTGGTTTAATAATTCTGAGCCTTATCGATAGGTCACATTATTCCTAAGTGTGAAACCCACCACTGCATAATAGCAAAATCCACAGGAACGCGTAAAATATCGTGTTATGTTGTCTGTGTGAGATATTGGGAAAGCTGGGTGAGCGAGTTGAAGCTCAATCGGTGACGTCAGAATTCTCGGTAGGACCGTTCAGATATCATGTAGGCGAAGGAATGATATCTCAATAGCATTTTATTAGAGCGTCATTGGTACGGATCTATGAACGAAGTTGTTTTATACCTAATCTAAGACCCTCGTAGATTCGTACGACGCAAGAATGAAAAGAAATACGCAAAGAAAATAAGTCGACCCAAGAAAACACAGAGAAAGATCTTCTTTCACTTGTTTTTCGCTGATTACCTTCCACCCGCTTGACCGAGTTAGCTGAGCTATTCATCTTTTTCTGTGATACGAGATGAACTGTCTTAAGTCATCATTACCTTGTACCTACAAACGACTTCAGGACCATCACGAGGCTTAAACCACAATTCATAGACGACCCTCGAGTATAAGCCGATCATCAGTGTCAAAGGAATACAGGCCAACAGCACAAGCCATGAGGTCTCATTCGCCGCACCCATCCAGTCTTCAGGCCAGTTCCACTGACATTCTCCTGTTTTCTCATCATATTTTGTAACTAAGAAAAGAGGTATGTTGGCTGCCGCTGCAAAGATCCAACAAGCAGGAATGATAACCTGAGATATCAAAAGATATTGTATCAACAACACGTTTTTTATTCCTGACTAGTACTATAGGATTTGCAGTGCAATCTTTTTTAGACAGAAGACCCATTACAATGACCCTATACATTGAGCTCTTTAACCCCTACGGTGTCTAGCATGTAATTTCTCTTTACAATACCAACCCTGAATCCAGCATTAAGGTCGTGAGAATAAAGGAAATGATCAGAAGAAGCTTTTGATTGCTAAGGGTTAAGATATCAAATTCTTCTTGTCAGCACAGTAATACCGATGTAAAGCTGTAAACTTTTGAGCGCGAGTCTAGTACCATTATATTGTGATCACATTTCTATTCTGTCACCTTCACTGTATTTTTGGTAAGTTTTCCTTTGCCACTAACAGGACACCTGACGGTATAGTAACGTTCAAATGCTATTACGACCAGAGTAATGGATCCAGCCGCCGCCCCAACCCAAGCCACATTACCAGCGGTGAGCACTTTGCATAAAGCTGAGCCAATGGTCCCGTCAGGGGGGGTGAACGTTAAAATGTGATTCGGTACTTGGAACAACGCGAATGTGATGTCTGCTAAAGCTAGATTGACAAGCAGCCAATTAAACGGTGTCCTACGGAGTGAAGATGACATTCAAACAATATTATTCAAATAATACCAGCAAAGCTTCAAAGAAGCAAGATTAAAAAGAAAAGAAAAATGAGGATTTGCTTTCTCACGAATGGGCGGTAAATTCAGTATAATAAAAGAGCATATTAACTGCGAAAAGGGGATTTCACTATTCGTGAAAGGCATAGGGATCCATGCGTGCGCATTTCTGCCTAGTGATTTCCCATGTGAAAGGCACTAATGATAACATCTCACTGCGCATGCCTTTCCGCTTGTGTTGAGCTGGAAACGCAATTGAGCATTACGTGACCTTGTTCCCGAGGCCCTCTGTCTTGCTGCTTGCATTAACTATGAGGACCCTGAAGACGAAATTAAGCCTATAACTAAGGGACACACGGTTTCGTATTCTTTAACAGATACAACATGCCTCATATCCCGATTTCTCTTGACGACCCAACAGACCAAACAGTTACCACTGATGTCCACAATAATGAGTATGGTCAGTGCGGTTGTCAAGGCAACATCAGATGACATGACGGAAGGTTGGCAATACTATTGAGCTACAGAGGTTACTGTGTCTGAAAACTGAAAAAAAAAAGTTACCAATACTTTTTTGTGTGCCTCTATGAATAAGGTTTACTCAGAAACCTAAAATCTTATGAGCTCCCTTTCATATAATTTCCCGGTGAAGACTGGTTTGCTCAATTATAAATTTATGGTATACACATCTTAATAAATTCCTCGCAATTACAACTACAATTTATTTTCCCTGTCTCCGTCGGGAACAGGGAAGTTCGGATGACCACAATTAATTGCGACTAAACTGATTTTAATGGCAATTTTATAACTTAACGTTTCCCGGCAACACGTGCTTTTGCTTTAAAAATCGACAACGTAGATAGAGGCCTCCTACAGCGTGTTCAGTAACTGCAATTATTTCAGCACGTTGTGTGCACTCTAAGCTCGCTACCTAGAGCAAGTTTCAGTGAGTTAAGACGTCCAACACTCAAACATTCATAAGCTACACTTGGCCGTATTGAAGAAACATTTTCCATTTGCCGAGGATTCCAATCAATAAGAAAATCCAAACAAATGAGACATGTGGTATATGCCCAATAAGGAAACGTAAATTAAAAACTACGACTGAGAACGTTTCTTTCATAATTGTCAAGACTAAAGTAAGCATTATTCAGGAATGACAACGTCAACTCGCAGCTAAGAGCAATAAATTTAATGGGTTCCGTTGATTTTACAACCGATCACGTACAAAATTCTGAGGCAGTAATTGCTAGGAAACGAAGTTTAATTGAAGTTTGAAGTGCTCACCAAAAAAAAAAAGGTACAACTAAGACATCGCTTTGATCTTTAATTCAAAGTGATTTTTGTAAGTGTGTGCGTGTGTTCGTGTGTGTGAAAAAGCTTAAAACAAAAAAAGTTAAATGATAAAATGAACAAAAGAGAAAGAAAGGTGCCAAGCTTCGATCATCAATTAATTATTTGTGCCGCCTGAATGTAAATATTAAATAAAGAAAATTAATAAGTTGGCGGAGAATGTTAAATGTTTCAATCCAGGTACAACCCAAACGTTGATGAAAAGTCTATTCCCAGATATCAATTCCGTCCCATTTGCTCTCACTAAAACCAATTTCTTCGAACATTAGGATAAAGATCATTAAGAAATGTAATGTTTTGAAGAAAGCGTCATATCTCGGAAACGCTCGAAGCAACTCGAAAAATATTGATTTGAAGATAAAAATGCCGAGTCACGGAATCTTTCTTTCATTTAAGAAAAATACAGAATATAACATCATGTCCCATATAACTAATGAACCCGTGCGAAAAAATCTAAATTGTATAAAAGTAAAATTATGATAAACTATTCTAAAGCGCTTGTTAGGTGGCAACGGATAATCTAAAAAGAAGGAATCGATTTTGTTCGCAAGATACCTTGCCAGACTTTGGCACAAATTTAGGAATTTTTTGTTTGAAAACCTACAAATCAAGCTACCCGAAAAATGAATTTATGGCATCTAATGACTTACCAACCTGAATTGTCTTTACGTTGAAACTGCAACTGACAGTTGTTCGAATCTTACTTCATTGTAGTCTTCAAGGAAATCAATTTTCATTCTAAAATACAATCAGGTATGTTCACACTGGACAGTTGAAGTGTACTTGAAATAAATTTTAAGTGCTCTGAACAGGTCTCGTTACATCTGATTGGCTATACTTAGTTACCATGGAAACCTCAAACCTGTAAGTGACGCAGTGAACCCTCGAGCAAAGTAAAGAAGTTGTTGGAGCCAGGGCACTCATCCAATTAAAACGCGGGAAACTAAGGGACTCGTCTTAATTTACTGACTGGCTGTGGGAGGAGAGAGGTTAGGGGATTTTGGTCCTGTCACTTTACTTGATGCCTTCCCCCCCCCTCATAAGGCTCTCTATGGTCTCATACCCAGACCTTTCACGGTCTACAGGATGGGCAGTTTTTTTCTGTCTCGAAGGAGTTTCACTGTTGCACTGTTCACGAGGATTAAGGTCACTGTTTGTGTATTGGGACTGAGCGCTGAGAGGGCGTATTCGTCGGCGCATTCGTCTTTGGGGAAGTTTCGTAAATCACCTCAGAAAAAATTGCTGGAAAGAGTCACGAGGATGATATGAACGGAAAAGAAACAAGTTTACAATCAAACCCAAACTAGTGGTTACATATTTGGTTTGCACGGGGAAAAAAAATAATACAAATTATAGATAGATTCATCCTCCAGCATTTTGTTCATCAAAATTATCTCTTTTAGTTAGCGATACCATCATGGTAAAGAAAAGATTGGTTTTATTCAAATTGAATTTGATAAAGCATATTCTCTCTTAGACATTTATGCACGTTGGTTTTTTCTTTTGGTTATTTTCCAAGTAACCTTGAACTGGAGTAGTAATAAAATCATAAGTTATTGTTTGGCGATGACCTTTCTTTAATCGGGCGGTATGTGAAGGTGCCATTTTGTAAACAAAATGCTTATTGTAACCAAGCTCCTGCTCTTTACAGTCTCCATCACCCAAATAACTAGGTTTGCGTCAATGATCATGATGAATTGAAAGAACCGCACCATGACCTTAAAACCCTATTGCTTTGTTCTAGATCAATGAGCGAAATGAGATGTGGGCGGATTTGGCATTTAAATCAGCTAAGCTCTGAAAATTGATTGCCATGGAAGATTCAACTGCGAGTCGACTTTTATCTGTGTGAAGTGAATGAAATCCTTTCGGGGATTATATTGAAGCGTAAAATGTATTTTTCTATCGCTTGCTAGAATGGTGAATTCACTGTCGGATTAACATCTGGTGGTAGTCAAGTAATTCAAAGTATCTGTTTATTTTAATAGCATTTATTCAAATATGAAAGAAATCGATTATTTAATGAGGCTTTAATGAAGTACTTTTTTAAATTCAGTCTGTTGTCATTTTGTATTTTATTGAAAACGAAGTGAAATAAGACTGGAAAGAAAATCGCGTGATTTTTTGCGTCGATTTAATAATGTACATAAGAAGGCGGTAGGTCGCTATCGTACAAATACTTTGTATTCGCGCGAAAACTGTCCTGAGGTCAAAAAAACAAAATTCTGAAATCGTTCGTCCAATTGTTCAAATACATTTCGAAATGAAAACATTTGTCTTTCTCTGAGCGATAACAAACTTTTTGAGACGTGACCGCTTAAATTGGTCACGCAAGTCCTTCCTCTCGTTACTGTCCGACAATAACAACTTTGCTTACGTAAATGAAGTTCCATTCATGATGAACGACTGCCCAAGCTCCAACATCTGCGAGCAGGAAAACTCTCATGACAAAATAATCCACTCAAACCACTTTGGCTGTGCAACTACCCGGTTGATTTTTTGATGAACTCATAAGAAATCAAAAGTGGAATGGAAGTGTTTTCAGGAGTAGGATTAACAGGTAAAATTCAAAAGTAAGTCGAGCTTCAATAGATAAGAGAAGCCGAGAAACCACCAATCTCTGCTCGTCAAAAGGCCCACACCTATGAGATCTTGATAATTTGCATTTACAAACACAACACAAGGAGCATTCCGCACGTCGTGTTTTGTTTAGCTCTCTGCGGTGCGGCTGTTTTTCTGTGCGTTGCAATCTCTGCTTTCTAGCTCCAGAACTCTTTAGAATGGCTGATATCAAATTGAGCAAAGTTAAAGGAAAGCTACAGGGTTTGAAGGATAAGATCGAGAAGGCCGAAGATCGATGCAATGACTGTAAGAACGAGCTTCGAGAGGTAGAGGAAGCCTGTGACAAAAATGAAGGCGAAGCAGATTCATTCAAACGAAGAATTCGCCTCGTTCAAGATGAACTGTCAAAAACTACGGAAGTTCTGGAAGAGAAACAGGCTAGATTGGCCGAAATACAGGCAATTTCGTGCGAGCATGAGGTCGCCTGCAAAGAGCTGGAAGGGATAGACCGCGAGAGCGACGAAAAACTGACTGACATGGAAGAGAGGGTTCTTGCAGCCATGCAATTAGCAAAGGAATCCGATGCACGTCTACAAGAAGCGAAGCAAAAATATAGAGTCACTGTGGGCGAGGTGGAGAAGACAAAAGAACGCGCTGAATACTTAGAAGGAAAATGCCAAGAGTTGGAGGACGGTATTTCTAGCACAAGCACCACTTTGAGAGACATGGAAGGTCGGGATGCTGAGTCTGCGGAAAAAGAACAGGAGCTGCTAGAGAAGTTGGAGTTCTTAGAGGGACAGCTGAAAGAAGCTATTGCCCGCGCAGAAGAAGCCGAGCGCAAAGTGCAGCCACAAGAAACCATCATCGATGACCTGACGCAAGAACACGATTCTTATGCGGACAAAATCAAAGATATCGAGCAAGAAATGAAGAAAATGGAAGACATGGTGGAAGCGTCAATAGATGATGTTGATGTACAAGAACCTAGAAAGGTAACAGATCGCTATCAAGTACAGGAAGAGCACGAGCCCGGGGAAGAACCGACAAATCCCGAACCCGAACCGGAGCCAGAACCCGTCAGGTCCGAAGAGGAAGAAGATGAAGAATGAAATAATCCCGCATTTGGGTTTTATGCGCTGTAACTGATCCGAAAGTTTGACAATGCGAACTCCTGAACATGACTATTTTTACAAATGAAATATTTTACTGCGTTAGGAGTGAAATTAGAATTTGACCTTTATCATAAGTGCCTTGTTTGAAATCTTAACTTTTTCTAGGGGCTTTTAAATCAATATTTTTCAACCAGTTGATTCTAATCTTAATTAGATGGTTTTAATATCGAGGCGGGTACAAGCTTCTCAGTAGGTGTGTTATTAACTTGGACGTTTTTTGATTGTCTGTCAATTTAATTAATTTAATTCATTACAATTAACTCCTTCTTGAGTGAAGTGCTGGCTTTAAAATAAACCTCTTTATTCGCATTGGATTGAATGTTTTCGTTTTTTAACTTTAAGATTTATGCCCAGATTTTATACGCTGAGGGAAACAGGAACAAAATTCTTGCGTGACAAGAAAAGATCATTGAAGCGATAAATAACACAGCCAGATACTAATGATTTTCTGTTAGTAAACATCACGGAAAGCCAAATGTCTTCATATCTATTTATGCAATCATAATAAATGCCGTTTGCCTTGTTTACATAGACATCTTTTAAATCCCGCCATACCATCGAATTTCTAATTCCTCTCTTTGATCTAGAGGTTGTGGTTCTTTAAGCGGAAGAGCTCTGAGGGCGTTGGAGCAAAGAAATGCGTGGAATTTCTCTGTGACGAATACCTTTTTTTATCCAACTAAAAGGGTATTATGATGTAACCATAGGTAAAGGCTGCGAGTTGTGCACTTAGTTGTGGATTGTAACCGACGAGAAAGTCTCTCTTGAGGCCCCCAAAAATGCACAACTAACAGAGGGAATGTAGTAGGTGAGTGCAGTTGAGGCGTTTTTGCCCAGATGCACTCAAGCTTGAGGACAAGACATTTACTATCAAACATAAACAGTTGAATCCCACGTCTTACCCTCCGACACCCCCCCTCCCCCTCCCATCCAAAAAGAAACAAAAATTAAAAAATTAAAATATCCATCACATCACCAATCCCTACCCCCCCAAACCCCTTCTCTATTAGCTCATTATTAACGCTTCCCGCCCGCGGCAAAAGCAAGCGGGAAAGAGGTCTGGAAGGGGTCTGGCACTAGTTATTAGTGCCGGAGTCTCGATAAATCTTTTCGCAACTCATCTCAAACCTTCCCTCAGGCGAAGCTAAGGAAAGCGCGTCCGGTAGCACTGATAATATTTAGTTGTCAACTCGATACGCCTTTTAAACTTATGTTTTTCCCTGGTCAGCTTACTTTAGAACTCAGAAATTTTAAGAATTTTAAAGCAGTGTGAGTAACTATACGTACAATCACTGGATATATACATGAACAATTTTAGTCTCAGTTCTGCTCAGATGACAGAGTGAGAGACGCGGCTGTGAATAGATGTGTGACCAACACTTAGGTTCCTCTTTTGATATGCAAACAAACGACCTCTGGAACTTTTGTTTTTAATTATGCATGAAATGTGGTAAATAAGAAAATTGTGGCGTCATTTATTTCATCATTCAGGTTTTGAAATATCTACTGCGCATGCGCGCGAGATGACACACTTCTCTCAAAGATACTGATTCAGGTTTTTGTTTTGATTGTTTGCTTTTTAAGAAGAAAGCTGTCAACTTTGTTTGCTTTCTTTCTTTTCGTTTTGTATTCACGAATTTCCATCTTGGCCTGATGTTATATAGGCTGAGGACAAACACACACCATAATGATAACAGACATTGATGACAAACCTATTTAAAACGAACCAAGCGCCTTTCCATTGGGATCTCTGATCCCGCATACTAATGCCGTAGCGAATGGGAGATACCTAGCGGGCCTCCTGATGTGGAACGGCTTGGTGAAATCCGAAGGGCTAGCCACCCCCAGTTTTTTTCTTGGTCTAATACAAGATTATTTAAATCTTTGTAACGACATCAATATTAATAGACACCAAAAATATGATTTAGAGGCTTAGGGTTATCCATCTTCTGTTGAGATTTTGTGGTTTGTGAAAATCATGCAAGAACTTTGAAGTATACCTTGAGATTAGATATTTAACTTCAAATTATGAATTAATTAGAAACGTCTCTATAGTTGAATAGGCCTATCAAGGTGTTCTTAAACGATGGAAAGAAGCAAAATCGTGCAGAAAAGGACCGTAAATGTAGTGACGAAAGTTTTTTTCCAGTGACTTCTGATTTCAACACTTTTTTCCGATAAAGTGCAAGCCACAAACATAATAAAGCGACAGTCTTTGGTAGCGGTTTTACTTCCATTTTAAACATGATGTAAAAGCTGGTTAAATTACCAATAAATATAAATTTGCTACTACACTACAGGACCACATTTGAATTTTGACGACATATCAGTCTAGCATGAGCAGCGTGACAACAATTTTACGATTTCATTAAGTTCCCAAGTTTCGATCGTTAACTGATCTGTGCGTTCTTGAGACTTGAAGTAACTTGGCCAGCGGCTGTCATCAATGGACTTCCCTTGTACTCAGCGACACCATCGTCAGAGGTACAAAGGTCAGACTGAAAGAAAACGAAAACAAAAACATTTTTCATTTTTTAACATTGTCATTATTTTGAGTTCGTACTAATATGACCCTTAAAGTTCGTTAGCAAATTATACGAGTAGGGTTCTTTGTTCATACGTTTGGTACACTACCAAAGACTCCAGTGTCCATTTATGAGTATAGCGTCTTGCCCAAGAGCACAACATAATGACCTGGTCAGGACTTAAATCTAGACCTCTGTATCCAGACTCCCCGGCTAAGAATGGCCTTCGAGCATGTTGGCAACTAGACACGAGCATTTCGGATCAATATCAGTATCGCCCACCCACTCCTCCCCTAACCCAACAACAGTCAATTGATAACAAGTTAGGGTTAATGTTGGGTTAGGGGAGGGGTAGGTGGGCAGTTGCCCAGATACTGATATTGATCCAGCATTTCTTTACCCGCGGCTTACCCGCGGGAAAGTACGAGGCCTTGAGCAACGCGAGTCGGCGAGAGGTCTGCCAGGGGTCTGGCATTGATACCTCATTATTAGTGCCACCCCTTGCGAACCTCCCTCCGACTCGTCTTAAATCTTCCCATGGGCGAAGAAACACGCGTCTAGCATTACTAATGATAAGGACCTGCTTGTGAGCAAGGCCAACTAGGACCTCACCGAGTCTAAAAGCGCCCCGCTGTTGATTTTACAGTGTACTTATAAATGTTGCGAGAAGGTCATAGAATAACAGCTTAAAGAATAGTTAACCTTTAAGGCTTCAAAAATCTTCTTCTTGGGATTCAGTTGTTCATCTGGCTCTAAATGAAAGAGAAAACGACAAATATAAGATGGAAAGTTGTTTAATATTTCACTTAATTTGGCGTTGGTCAATATGAACAATATGGATAAACAAAGGATTCATTCGTTAATCAACTATCGATGCACTCTTTTTCTTAAATGTAAATTACTTAAGCAATGATCATATAAACCGCTTGTTATACGGTGGCGTGAAGTTTTCGTTGATTCTCCATACTTCGGTTAATTAAAACTCTGTAAGTATTAATGTCACCAACGAGTCTACGTGTTTCTTATAAATCCTGGAAACGAAATTTTTGAAAACCAGCTTGGTTGTAAGCCACTCTCTTTTTCTCTACCACCTTACCTCCGGCAGTTTCATGTTCGTAGCCTTTCACCACGACTCTGTCACCAGGCTTGCATTCAGCTGGCGGGTTTAGAGGAATCACTTGTCTTTTACCATCAGTACTACAAACAAAAACCATAGGCTATTAGTCTGATTTTTTTCGCCTATGTCCATAAATTTGATTGTAAGTAAGAGCGTCCTTGCCA